TAATATATTATTATATAATATTTATTTAATATATTTAATATTATTATTTATTTAATATATTATTATTTTAAATATTATTACATATTTTTTAAAATTAAATCACCAAACACAATTTTAATTTTTTTAAATTAAAAATAATTTCAGAATAAAATTATCAAACTCATTTTTAAAAATAATTCTAAAATAAAAATAAAAACGTTTTTGTTTTCATTTTTATTTTCATATAAAAAATAAAAATATTTTAGAACGAATTCTAAACGCACCCTCACTTTCTCTATCTTCTCTCTCTTCAAACCCATCTAATCTAACTGAGCCCCATTTTCTGATTTTTTTTATTTATTTTGTAAAACAACTTTTTTTCTCAGATACAGATCAAATTCGCATTTTCCATTTTCTGTACCTCATTCTTCTCTAACCTTAAGCTGAAATATATATATATATATATATATATATATATATATATATATATATATTGGTTTTGGCTCAACAACGTGAAAGTGTTTAGATGGTCATGTTTTGCGCGGTGGCTGAGAAGAATAGAAAATGTTTCAGATCTAATGCATTGATGGTTTTATTAATATGTCTCATATTTGCTTTGTGGTTTGTTGTAATTCCAAAGCTCTAATGCATTGATGCTTCGATCGTTCAGAGCCTTCTTGTCTTCTTTGTTTTCACATTCTGGTTTGCATTGTAACAATTTGCAGGGCAAAAAGAAAAATTAAACGAACAAACCATTTATATCTATTCAAATGGCACACCCAAACGTAGACTAGGGGTGTAACTCGGCTGTAGGCTCTGGTTGAGCCTGGAATTTGGGTCGAGTGCACAAGTTAGGGTGAGGAAAATTTGGGCCGCAACACTCTTTTAGGCCCATAAATCCGTAATCCTTTAGGTTACCTCAAGTAGGCTCGGTTTGCGGTTTGGTCAACTTGGGCCTGGATGTTGGGCCTGTGTACCCTGTGCACTGGAGTAAATTGTAGCCCTCTCTATTATTGCAGGCCTTGTAGCTGAGTAAAAACTAGATTATCATTTTAAGTAAAATAAGGTATTTTATTTATAATCAGAGGAGAGAAGTAACAGTTAAGTTTTGATTGAACAAGAAGAAAACGCCCGCTTTTGACTCATGAAATTGCTGTAATTTTCCTTAAGAGAGCTGATCATATATTAAGTTAGTTCCTCATCATTTTGAGGGTCAAAGCTTGAAGCTCTCCCAATCAAACAAGTCCTTTAACTCTACTAATTCCCAATCAAGTATCAACTATCAACGGGAAAAAAACAGTAAATAAGTTAATATTATTTATCATAACAAATAATACATTCAACAGTCCAACAATCCAACAATCCAACAATCATATGTTTAACACAGTCAACACATTCAAAAGCACTAACATAACATTCATTGTCTTTAATGAAGATTTCAAATAATCTGAGAAGAAGAAACGGTAAATGATAATAAACGGCAAAACGCGTTTACTTCGCGATGTTCCTAACAGTTGATAAGAAGAAACGGTAAGAAGCAAAGAGTCGGCGACTGTGAGAATAAGAAAAGGAATGGAGACTGGAGAACGGTGAGTGTGAGGAATGACGAGAGACTGAGAAGTGAGAAGAGGAATTAAGAAGGAGGCGAGGGAGGCGAGATTGAGTGAGGCGTAGGTAGGCGGCGCAAAAGGAATTGAGAAGAGAAGAGAACTAAGAGTGAGAGAGAAGTGAAGTGATTAGGGTTAAAGACTTAAGATTACACTAGGTGGAATGAGTATTCACGGCTGAGTCGGGGCCTAGCGGGTTAAAGAATGCCCGTCCCGTGACCCAGCCCATATATTACGGGTTGGACCTATTTGAATTTAAATTTTTTTATAAAAAAAATAACTCTATATTTTGAGTATAATAGGATCGGGTCAGACATATTAGTTGAGTTCGAGTCCAATTCTTACACCCCTAAAGTAAACCCAGACAAACAAAACCATTAAGAATAATTAGAGCACAAAACCCATTATTTTATTTTAGTTCTATCTTTTTCTAGCAGTACACCATATTTGACAAATAGTCAAATAATGTCAAACAGTAATATTGTTCTCCAACGCTGTTTGCCTCCGGCTAGGCAGTCTCCCAAGATGACTTCGACGGCGTCCGTGTTTCGGTTTCTGGGTATGCCTAGAACAGTCAAACTCAGAGAAGGGAAATAATAATTTTTTTTTTTTTTTTTTTTTTTTTCTGAATACTTCCACGTAGGACTTTTAGTTATTTTATTTTCATATAGGAATCTTTAAAAACACAAATCTAATATGACATCTAAAAAGGTCGTACAGAAATTGTTTTAACCTTTGCACCGTACGATGTTAATTAAATGCGAGATAGAATTTAAGCCTACCGGTAGTCTTAAAAAAGAGGAGTTCTCTAATTTCGGTCTCACTCGCTTCGTAAATTCGAGTTGAGATGTGATATTTTTTTAAAATTTTTAATTGTAATAGAAAAAGTTAGATGTGAAATTTTCTAAAAATTTTTAACTATAGAAACTTAAAATTTAAAACTCAAATTAGTAAAATGAATGAGGCCGAAGGCCCCTTTTCAATTTGACAATTTAAGATTCTTTTAGTTCACTGATTCAAGTTTTTAATTCGAGTTGATATATGACTTTATGTGAGAGCTTTTTATTATAATAAAAAAATTAGATGTGACTGTTACTGTAATAAAATTTGAATCGATAAAAGAAACGAGATCTTAATTAAGACCTAAGGGTAGGTAACTAAATCTACGCTTCTCCTATTATTTTTAATGAAATTTCACAATTATTATTAAATAACACAATTACTTTAGGACAAAAATATTTTGAAAACGACTCCTCACATAGTCTAATCTAAGAAAAAAAAAATTATATCATTTTCTATAGGAATTAATTATATCATTTCAACCAAAACACATATTAAACATTGAACCTCAATTAGAGGAAGTTGATGAGGTATACTTGCGAATATATTGGCTACCCTTTTAATTGCATGTAGATGTCCACGTGTTGCATATATAACAAGCTCATTTACGTCTCTACTTTGTCTCTCCACAAGCATTTGTTTCATTTCTTTCTTTTTAAACAATTAAAAGCACCTTCGATCTCATAATGTACTGCAAAATAGATAGGAAAAATTCATAAAAAGAAAACGCATACACGTTAATTTCTAATTAAGTAAGACTCCACGTCAAACAAACTTGCATGTGATTAGATAATTTTAGGTCTTTCTGGTACATTTCTATTGAGACATTAGGGGGTGTTAGTTTATCGATCCATCCCAAAAGCTTAAATTATTAGGAGGTGGGCCAACAATAATTTTTATACTTTAATACTTCTCCTCACGTGTGGGCTGGACAATGGACAATGGGCAATCATGTGGATAAATTAATTGCAAAGCCCAACACGTGAATATTTAAAGCCCGAGATATATTAAAGACCCAACACATGATGATAATTTTAAATGAGGATAAAGAGTACAATTACGGGGGTTTGAACTTAAGACCTCCCGTTTTGATACCATGTTAGTTTACCAATCCATTTCAAAAG